CATCACACAATCTTGCACTTAAAAAAATATTTTTTGGGCTCACAAAAATCATAATAAATGTCCGTGAGAAAATACTACGATTATCTTAATAATTCTACATCATTATTGTGAGCGCCATATAAAGTTATAAAACTGGTGTCTATAACTAGAAAATTCAAGCATTTCATAGATCTGAATACTTCGGATTCGAGAAATTCTCAGAAAGTGAAGTATTTTTTTAAAAATATGAAATTTCCATTAATTTATGGTTTTTCGTTAAATCATGTCGAACTTTAAATTTTAAAAAAATATCAGTTCATGCATCGTCTCTTAATTACATTCAAGAAAATTCCAGATATATATGCCTACATCTGTCGGTCGGTAATTTGCCCTAATCTCATAAAAACTTATCAACTCATACCAAAATTTCACGGAAATTTAAACAAATGATCTTAACACTTCTCACTTGATGCCTAGATTATTTCCTTAAAGTCGAAAACATTTATAGAGCTATGTGGACTCACGCAACACACCAGTCTCAAAAATACTTTAATTGGTTAAAATCTAAAATGGGAGATATTTCTTTAGAAAATCTTTATATTTAAATTTTATAAAATGTTAAAATATTTGAATTATAAAATTATTAATCATGTTAAAAAGTATTAAAATGCCTTTCTTAGAATTTATACTTTTATTTGACGTATGCTCTAAAACGAAATGTTTCAATTTAATTTCAAGTATGGACCCGTTCCATTTTTTGATGTAAATGAAAGCGTTAAAAGATAAAATTCATTTCTTTAAAACAGACAAAAGCCATTTCATTGAATGATCAGTGAATCAGTGTTAAGCCGTCGAGAAAATCATTAAGGTTTAAAATAAAATTTAGAACTTACTTATGAACTTTTGTTAACAAAATAATAAAAATAATTGATCTAATCAAATTGGCTTAGAAAAGGCTTGCGCTATCAAAAGTTTATTTTTAATAAGCCCCTTAATCAGCATTTGATGTGAAATTATGATTAAATTTCATACTTTATATACTTAACTATTAACTATTTCATACCTTCATATAACTAAACAGTCTTATTTATAATCAGTAGTTGTCATAAGATCGTTCTGTAAATTTAAAATTACCACTGTTGGGATAACTTGAGGACGGATAGTCTTGATGGCACCAACGACAAGTGGAACAGTCAGGCACTGGTCATTGTCCATTCTGTCCAGTAGGAGAGTCAAAACACAGGCCAAACCACTGTAGGTTGCACCGTTTCTTTAAAATACAAATCGATGTTTTATAAAGATACACTTGTTATTGGAAAGAGAATAGCGAAGGTTATTTCTAATATTATTATAATAATATTTTCATTTATTTAATAAAGGACGCTGCATCAATACTTTTAAAAATAGATTTATTCTCTGCATGTTTTGTTTCAAAATCTAACAATAAAACAACACCCACCTGCACATGTACATAATTCTGGCCTCCTGTTCAGAGTTATACGTCCTTGAATGCTTGAGAAATGACAAAAGTTTATGTGGATCTGTGGCATTTTGTGTATATCTGAGATGAATGAGGCTGTGCTCTTCTGCTTCCTTTATAAAATTTGTAATTTAAAAAAAAACTGACAGAAGAATACATTTGATGATGAAGGCAATAAATTTAAAGAATGATTTGTTACATAATATGTCCCGTCTCTATATTGATTAAGATTATGGTTGAGAACAGTAGTACATTAAAAAGGAATGCAATTTATAATCAGGGGCATGCAGAAAGAGGAAATGAAAATGAAAGACGCCCAAAATGTTTTTTTTTTCTAAACGAATAGTAAAATGTTTAAAAAAAATAAATTTAGGCATTTATTTATTTATTTTTTTTTTTGGGGGGGGGGGGGGGGTTAATTTTGTAAAGAGACATTTTAGCTGTGTTTATCTTTGTAATACATAGCTTGTACGTCTCCTTGCTTACCTATTTATACTAGTTTCATTATGTCAGCGGAAACTATTAAATTATCTTTTAAATGATATTATCTACCTTTGATCCATTTACAATCAGCTTTCTCTCTTCCCAATCAGATCCTTGGTGGAATGTTCCCACATTAACTTGAAATGGAGGGAAGCTGGCCTTGTCTTTTTCACTGGTTGGCAGATACTCGCCTATTGTCTTTAGAATAATAAGAATACAAAATTCAATTAAACTTTTATATATTTTTTTGTTATACAGAAGATGAAATAAGAAAGATAAACGTTTTGGTGGATCAATTAGATTCTAATTTAAACATCTAGAACCTAGAGCATAGTCTGTAAAAGCCGAGAGGAGAAAAAGAACAGCACTAGATTAGGTTTAACGATTTAGTTTTGAATATGTAAGTAGTTTGCTCTAGTCTTGAATATGTTATTAGCTTGAAATTTTTTTGAACATGATAACAGTTTGATCTAGTTTTTGAATACTTTTGTAGTTTAATGAGAATATGATAGAAGTCTTGAAGAATCTCTACAAGGCAAGCATATGATGTGGTTTTCGAGATTCTAAACAATTGCATTTCATGTCAATTGAGACTCTATTTGGAGACAAGTCACATGTGCAGTCTTATAGAGAGACACATAGCTTGAGTTTGCCGTGGAGAAAAGTGGCAGGTATAGGTGGATAGAGAGACATATAGCTAGAGTTTGCATTGGGTGGTCAAAATAAGGTTGAAAGAACAGCAAATACAAAATCACGAGGGTGTGTGTGTGTGTGTGTGTGTGTGTGTGTGTGTGTGAGAGAGAGAGACAGAGAGAGACAGAGACAGAGAGAGTAAAAACAGAAGGAATTTTTTTTTTTATAAAAATAAATCTAATAACATTTTTTACAAATATTTTTATATATGAAGTTGTTGTTACAATTTACATTGTTTCTTTTGTGCCAATGATGAGAGTACTTGTATTATTAGATAACTAGTATTATCTTGACTAACATTGGGACCAACACCTTCAAAAACCCTTTCTATGACGTTAGTTTGTCGAAGAGAGCATGAAGATTTTATTTTATTTTTTAAAAGTAAATTTAATGAATAACACAAAGCTAAAAATATAAATATATATACAGATTAATGGATGTAAAATAATGTGAAAATTGTAATTATAATTACTGAATCTGTGGCTTGTAAATGCTCCTCAAATGCAACAACCAAAGAAATTTTCATTTGAGTAATGAGACGCCAGAAGTCCACCACTGTTGTTGGGAGTGGAAGTTGTGTGATGATATCTTGATTCCTTTTTCTGAAACTCTGAAAAATTGAAGGAAATAAAATATAATTTATAATTTATACTTAACAGTAAAAATTTATAGTGAAAGACTAAAACAGGACAATTATTAGAATTTCGCTTTATGTTTCTATACAGTTTAGCAATTGTGTCTGAGAGATTGAGGTGTAGGTCTTTAATTTTGAAATACATCTATCGTTTATTACCGGTAGTAAAACAGCATTGACGTAATCTCCCATGTCACTGGATTCACACATGAGTACAGGTCTGTAATTTTCCTCTAATGGACAATTAAATAAATGCAATCAGCATTATCTCCTTTTGATAAAATTTGTGAAAGAAAGTAAATTTTAAAAAAAACATTATGCACAACTAATACTTCATTAGCCCTATTTTATATAAGTTAAACATGAAATAATCTAAAGTTGGAAAGAAATTGGGGCTTTAAGATTTTTTTTTTTTTTTCTAGTGTTAAATTTAAAGAATAAATTTACAAACTAACTTGGCAAGATGTTTCCAAATCTGTTTTTGAGTTTATTGGAGACAGTTCGACTGTTTTGGTACATGACTCCAGTTGGACCTTCTTCATCTTTAAACTGAATTTCCTAATAAATTTACAAACTAACTTGGCAAGATGTTTCCAAATCTGTTTTTGAGTTTATTGGAGACAGTTCGACTGTTTTGGTACATGACTCCAGCTGAACCTTCTTCATCTGTAAACTGACTTTCCTCCATGCAAACACTGCACACTGCCTATATATAACGCAAAGATGGCAACTATGATATATTGACTGAAGCATGTTTAAATTTCAAATAATTACCTTAAATTGTAAAAAATTCAAAATTTTAGATATTGATTTTAAGAAAAAAAAACAACTGCATATCATATTAAAGAATCTTTCAAACGTTAACCTCTAAAATGAACTAACGTATTAAAAGTCAAAACTTACAAGTTTTTATCTCAAATGGCAAAGTTGACACAATTAAGATAAAGTATAATGTCTCACCTAAAACCTTCATGGTACCTGACTTGATGTAATAAAACTTACATCAAACTCTATTTCCATTTTCGTTTTACCGGAGATGGACTTTTTCTCCAATTGGTGAACACTGGTTGCAATATTATTGGATGTTATAGTTGTATTTATACAGGTCATAGCAACCTTGGCAGCCTCATGCAAGAAGACATATTGTTCCTGAAATAGTATTAGTATCGTTAAAACTAAATATTTAGGCTTTTATATTTGCAGCAAGATAATTAAGTAACTTAAGTGCAAGATAATAAATGAAGAACTGCGTTCAAGCTGTGTGAAGGAAATAGTAGAACAAAGTATTCAGGAGCTTGAGATAGAATGACAAGACAATAAAACAAGTTAGTTTTGGCTAAGAGCTTTACTTAGATTAAGTTAAAGACCAACATCTAACAACAATTCAATTTCAAATTAAATTCGTCAAAAATAAAGTTTCTGTTTGTTAGACATTCACAGTTTATAAGATTGGCAAAACACGGTTTAGCTAGATCTAAATTAGATTAAGTATTAAAGAATGGTGCTATTCTTTGACTTAAGTTTTATTCATAAACTTAAGAAATAATCCTCTTCATTCTCTTTGAATATCATTGTATCAGTATAAATTATTTTTCATTTCCGTGTTTACTGCCCTTTTATGACTTTATGGCAATAAATATTATATTCAGTTCATAATACGCTTCGCATCATTAATCATTCTAAACGAATTCAGAAACCTTAGCGACGCATAGAGTGAATAAGCGCATAAGGCTAATAAAAAGTGATGCTAAAAAATCTCACAGCTGTCTGTATCATCATCGTCCTGTCCTGCCTGAGTTTGGCCACAGTAGTGAAAAAATCCATCTGTTGTGTATCCTCAGCTTCTCTCATTACGTTACGTAGAGCTATGAATGTTCCTGTACGGCCCACACCGGCACTGACGAAAAAAAAAAGGATCAAGTTAAATTTATGTCGCATTGAGTATTCTTTTTGAAAATTTAAAGTAAAAATGTCTGGACGAAGAACAAAAATAGGAAGAATATACTATTTTTACATAAATTTAAAATGATGGTCTGAAAAATCAAATTTACCTTTTTAACCATCTTTTGAAAGAGATCATTACAATAACATTTTTATTGTTGTCACATTTAAAACAAAATACATATTGTTACATTTTTAGTAGTTTTTATTTTTGTTACAAGTAAACATTTTCTCCCCTCCTAAAATAAAATCTTTATTGTCTCTCAATATTTCAGCCGAATTCAAGATTCATTGAAGATATGTCATAAGGCTATGTGAAATTAAGTAATAGTTATATTTGCCAACCTGCAGTGAACCACTATGGGCCTTTTGGTGGCAGTTGCCGCCACTCTTTGTTCAAAGTCCACTAGAGCCCAGGGGTTTTCTGGTACACCCTTGTCTGGCCAGGATGTGAAGTGAAACTGTGTCACTGGGTGCATTGGATGCGAGTCCTGGATCGGTGGATAGAATAGTTAACTAAGTTTAATAAATTATCGAATCATGGATTATTTATTCAATAAGATCATATATTTGCTAAATCTGATAATAGAATTTAATTAAAATGTGTACACAAAGACAAACAATTTCCCTTGCAGTTTGATTAACTAGGTCATATTATTTATTTTCCTTGTTCAAAACTTATGGGTTTGAATTATTGATATGTTTTTACCTTTGAAATATATTTTGTTAACTGAATATGTATTAAAAAAGTAAAACATTGTAGTTCTCATAATGAAATAAATACTCAAGTGTATCAAACTAACATACCAGGTAAAATTGAAGACGCCTTATAATATAATCAGCAAAAACTTGTGCAGCAGCCAGTCTGACACGTATTTCTCCAAATGTCATCTCATTTTCATCTGGCCAGTATGGATCACACTTGGACTGGTTCAATTAAATTGGGGGTGGGGTTAATCATTTGGATTATTGAAATATAATGCGTTCATGATCTTCATACAATAGTCTTGATTATGTAAGATATACCTATATGACCTCCTAAAGTCTTCGCGAAAAAGTTGGAGCGCTATTGACATTTAATCAAATGGCTTACGAGGCCGATTTTGGAATTACATTTTTGGCCGCACTCTCGCACGACAAATTTTGATCCTGGGTATATGGGGCATTCCGTAATTTTCTTTATGTTGCAATGGCTTCGTTTCACTAATCTGCTGCCTGCCTAACTCCTTCATACACTGCTTTTCGTCAGATGTAATGGTGTTCAGCAATGACTGCCTACTCCTTTATTTCTATGTTGTCGTCTCTCATGTTTGTCAAATGAAATCGCAGCCCGGTGGTCCAGTAGGTCTTCCCCCCCCTCTGCCAACACTTCATACAGCAAACCCTTCCTCCATTTTATTTAAAAGGCCTGACATGCAAAGGCGTCTCTTACGAAGAAATGTTCAACATTTTAGCACGTTTTAAAACCTGTGTTGGGCATATACTCCTGCCATCGAATGCGCAAAATGAAAACTAGACATCTTTTCTGGAAGTTGTTCAGCTTTCTCTCATGACTGGTTGATGTGGTCTAAACTCTACTGCCATATAGCTGAGTACTATAACCGCTTGCCTGATAGACGCTAAATTTTTAAATTCCAGATATATTATCCCACACCCGCTTATTTAATTTAGAAATAGTTCCTGTTGCTTTTGAGATACTGATATTCCCCTTTTCGTCAATGGAGAGTAAACTAGAGATATAAGATCCAATATATTTGAAATTTTCAACTACAGATTATCTCCCTCATTACTTATGCTGAGAGGGGACTTATTTCATCATAAAATTTGTTTACTTTCGACTAATTGACAGTCCAAACTCTTTACATGGGTGTTAGAGATGAATAACTAACCGCTGCAGAGCTTCTTCTGTGTACGATGTTAAGGCGAGTCTGACTTCGATGCGATTTGTCGTGGATGTAATGTTCTGGTGTCGACAAACCCAACCAAAAATAATGCCCATATCTATTGCACCTTTAACAATACTTGCATAAATATTGTCTCTGTTAATGTTTGTTTGTTCACAATCATTAAATGCTACTCTGATAATTTGAGTGAAACTAAATACTTGTTATAGCTCGCAAAACATTGGCGACCTTAATGCAGGAACTTCTCATCTTCTAAAGTTACTTTGCAAACATAACTCAAGTCGCGCACATTTAAGAATCTCAATTTTTGATCACCCTTCTCCAATAATACGTAACATCACTCTTTTTATTTCACGCCCATGAACTATATTGATATTATGGTGTCTCAACCACTTTTAAACCGAATATTTTTTACACCCTATTTAAATTGAGACGATTTCATTTCCGAAAAGAAAATATTACGCATTTGTGTTATTTAAAGAAATATAACGCGTAGTTATCGGGAATTATATTTTTCGCGCTTTACTGCCATGGAAGCAGTCACACCACATGCTATAAATCCATAAGAGTTAGGAACTTCGTTCAATTTTCATAGAGTATATTTCTCATTTGAGTTATCTCTATAAGTATAATAATTACTTTTACATTTACGTCTCCTTTAATAGATAAGGTTAAAAAATCTTGTCCTGGCATGTTATTGAAATAATAAATTTGTTAATTAAAAAAGCTATTGCAAAAAAAAAAATTTAAAATTAAAAAAACAAAACAAAAAGAAAATAAAAAAAACAATAAACAAACTTACTTTTCCATCTTCAATAAGATTGGTCAACATGACAACTTTTTCAACTTTTTGCTCCCAAATCATTCTAATAAAGTCATTTAATATATACTTGGTTGGTCCTAATGAGATAAGAGCAAACATTACTTTTATAATAAACATTAATGTGAACATTACTTGATGTTTAAGTAGGCAATTATAGTATATGCACTATATACAACACTTTGATTTGGCATTTTGTTATACATATTGTATTTCATCTTAAAATATCTTTAATATTGTATACATAAAATTAACAAACTGACGTCATGAATATTTCCCCTACCTTGAGATGCTATAAACTTTTCCTCTCCCTTGTATCCCTGTAAAAGAATATGGTATTTTCTGTTTTTATAAAACACAGATGATTTTAATGACACGATTAAGTTGACTAAAATTTAAAGCTCTTCACTGAATTAGCTTAAACATTTAGAGGTTTATAAAATACATTAACTTTTCATTAAGATGTTTTTACCTCTTAACTTTTGAAATAAATGAAATATCAATACATTTTGAAGAAAACAAGACGAAAGTAATAAAATAATGTATTCATATTCCACATAAAATTACGCCTTGGCGGGAGACAAAGGCATACACAATAACACATAATCGTAACGTTGTGGAGATTAAAGATGGTCAAAACTACAATCAAATATTTACAAAAAAAAGAAACACGGAAATTGTATTTATTATCTATTAATATTATTATATATTTGCTTTGAGTTTTAAGTCTTAAGACCAATGTGAAAGTTTCCTAACGGAACAATGCTTTCATCTTATAGTCCCATGTTGTGCATTGACTAATAACTAAGGGGTATACTCTTTGTATGTATTTTTTTCGTATAAAAAATTCAACAAACATTGGGATTGCTTGCTATTAGTTTATTTGATTACTTTAAAATGTCTCTCTAACCAATCAATGTGACAGATCACTAGATTTACTACATATTATTAAATAGTATCACAGCACTAATATTATTTACTTGTAAGTACGAAGCATTTATATAATCTCCGTGCATTTTCTTTGCGTCAGCTTCCAAGTGAACCCTCGAGTGATCGTCTGTGTATACAAATATAAGAATAGTTATTAATGTTATTATATGTTGGTAAATTAAGTACAACAAACAAGTCCAAACAAGTCAAACATTGTTGGAATATTTTTTTTTTAAATTTAATTATAAATAATGTAATATTTTTTAAATCATATAACTTTTGTCTTTTAAGCAGGCTTAATAATAGTAATTTATCATATATACACATGTAACTTCAATTCTTCATAACCCATATGCCTCATTTAATGAGTTTTCTTAGTTTATAGATATTTTTTCAATGTTGAGTAAAGGAATAAAGAAACACAATCCAAATTATACACTCGTGAGATAACTATACCTTACAATCATTGCCATTAAAAGATGTTAGACAGTCTACTTAAAAAGTAAAGAAAATTCCTCCTCACATGATCATTTTTCAATCCATGTTCATATGTCAATTGGAACTTAAGCTTTAGGCTATAGGATGTTGATGCGGAAAAAGTTGTTCACTTTATATTCTATTGGATGTAGAGATTTTTTTTGTCCCAGGCTTCAAATGTATAGTGCCAGCTCTCGGTCTCATTGATATTTTGAAGATTCGTTTGCAGAGTCTACTGTACATTGTATTCCTGAACTAAAAGTCTAGCTTATATTTCACTAATACTTGTTGCGTGCTGTATGTTAACCGTGAAGCTGTTTTCATTTAATGGTGACTTCCTAAGTTCCGTGTACAGCTCCTGTCGTTTCATTAGTCGTAATGTGACCTGTACCAATATTTTAGATACTCTTTGGTTTCAAGAACGTTTTGTCGGTCCTAGATCTCGTGGCGTTTAGAAGATACATTTAATTTTTTCAATTATTGCATCTACCGGTTTAACCTTTCTCTCTCCTCAGTGATGATAAGTCTCTGCTGTCTCTTTACTAGATGCATTTTCTGTCTCATGCGTCATTGCAGCTTTAGTCTTGCTATTACCGAATCTTGCAGTCTTGAGTTTAAGCTTTAAAAGTTGTGGATCGTACCACTTACACTCGTCAGCTTGAACCATTACTCGGACGAACTACAACGAGTGCCTTAATTTTCTATCACTGATTCAGTCATCAATCTAGAACTGCTTTTTTCCACCTGATCATGTTCAGCTGAGCTTGTGGAATAAAAACTGTGTGCACCAGTTGCCTCCAAAACAAAACTGTGTTGTCTTTACTGTGGCTGATCTGTGTGTCCAGGTGTTGATTTAATGTGCTTAACTACGTTCCCTATTTCATTTTTCCTTTTGAATCTGACATTGAAGTAGCTTATTACAAGGATCGCCTTCATGCATTCTGAGATCTTCTGGCCTGGCTTGTAAAACAATTGGAATATGTATCGGTCTCTTCAATATTTGTATTTATTAATTTTTTTTAAATCCAGAAACAACACATCCTTTTGTCACATATTTCCATTGCGCATCATTTGTGCTTTATGTTTTATGATAATGAGAGAAATTCATTCCTGTTGGTTGTCATAGTTATTTCTTCTAGATGATGAATATCCACGATCACGTTTGTTCTAGTTGGGATGGTTGAGGAGGTTTTGGCCTGTGCACTTATCATGTAAACCTATTCTGCTATAGACACAAAAGCAACTAAAAATACCACCATCAGTAGTAAAAACTGAATACATAACATGATCTTATATAACTTATCAACAGTGTATACTATATGAATATGGGTGTTGCTATGTTTCAATTATAAAAATATTATTAAATCATACATGCACAGATATTCTTGTATCGATTCTTGTTTTTATTTTCAGCACTCAGACCGACCATCATTGTAGCCTCTGTGTTGACTGGTAAGTTCTGTGAGATAAACAAGCTTGGATACAACATGTCACTCTTTAATATGTGTGGCTTACTGAATATATTTATCTGTAAGTAGCAATTATATTACCAATAAAGAGCTCAAAGAACTCAGATACTTAGCACAAACAATTATTTACTAAGATGCTCATTGCCAAAAAGGTTTACTTGAATGACCACCGTGGGTTTTAAACATATTCATTGTAATTTTTTAGTGAACATATAAATTCGGAAATACAGGTAACTATTTAAATTGAAATGGTTAGCCCGCTTAAAAAAGTAGTTTATGAACGGAAAATACATTATTTTAAAATCCTTTATATTATCTTCCAGTTTGTCG